GATTCTTTGTCCAAGACCTCGGCAGATGTTCTTGATCGGCATCTCATAAACTTCATAGATTATTCCACTCGCAACAGACTTCTTACTGCCAACGACTCGGACGAGTCGAAAGGGCTTCCAGCAGTCATCAGATCCAACTGCTGTTTGCAACTCACCAGCACGCTCCGACCACCAGGCTTTTAGGTCCTTACTCAAACTTTGTACAATTTCATTACGTAACAATCTTCGTTTGTGGCCGAACTTGCGATCACCCAGAGTAGACCGACGGGCTTCAATGAGTTGTAAGGAAACTGAAGAAACCCTGTGCTTATAAAAGGAATGTTTCGCGAAGCCGCAAGCGACTTTACTCTCCGTTTTCATAGCGTCATGTAACTGCACTTTTCGGTGGACTGGTAGCAAACCTTGGACCTAGATCTGTTCGATATTTAGTTGCAACAGAAGCTGAAACCAATTTACTGACATTGATCCGTCTAGGGCCATGAATTTGCTGGCCACTAAAAAGTAAGATAACATTAGAGAAAACAAGGGCATGATCAGGGTCCAAACAAGTACTCCAAAAGGCGAGGCAATCTTGTACACAACCACGCCAGAGGTCACCGATCGCGATGTGATCAATCTGAGTCCAGGCTTGAAATGCAGAAGGAGGACATACATAGCCAACTCTATCTGTTGTTCGATTTGCATCAATGTCCGAACGTTGGAAGAAGCCAGTTTGAATGGCATACATAGTTTCAGATAGGCTGTTTCATAATTCGTATTCAGTTGTAGCATCCAACATTCGACCCGTCAGTAACTTGAGACTGTTTAGATAGGACAAGATTCCCACCATAGGCGAACTGTTGTAAGTCTAAACCACAAGGTAGTGGAGCAACGTAAAAAGATGTAGTCCAATAGTAGCCGGTGGGTTATTTTTCCAATATAAGGCAGTTTATTTCTGGTTTTTAATGATGTCACTGATAACTAAAGGTCACATTTAAGGTTATGCTAGGATCTTATAAGAAAACAAGGACATAAACATGGAAAATCGGACTGGAAATTGAAGCAAATTATTAGTACAAATTGTATCGGTCGCCTCCAGCCTTCTAACAAGAGTAAACAATAAACGAAAGATGAGGATGAGAAGAGAAAATGACTGATTATTGCTACGATTATATCATGAATGCAACAAGAACTTTGTGTACTTTTCAAAGAAGCAATTCATTCATGTAATTTGTGCATTGTGGTCAATTGTGATATTATTCGTTTATCCGCCATTTGAAAGAATTTATCAAAATATTACGAATGGATGTTATGGGTCAGCACACCTTAATTATTAACTCACTTGAACTGTTACATCCAAACGTATCACATTACAAACAAATTTTTCTGTGTCTAACTCTGACCTGAATTATATTAATCTCTATTTAAGCTACATTACCGCTACTCAGAGCAGTTAATAGCTAACGGTAAAAATTGGTTTTTATACAAGATTCGATTATACTAAATTCTCCATCAACATTTAAAGGTAGCTTTAGTTATTGAACAAGTACACAAACTACCAGCTAATAAACTACTATATTTGAAGAGATTACAAGATCACCTGAAATCGGAGAACGGAACGAAGGGACAGCGACATAACGACAAGACAGTCTGAACTATTCCGATGCGTCTCAACCCTGTTAACTAGACGGAGGAGATCCACTTCAGATGAAGGAAGGGTATGTTCCACAGAACCCAAAAGCACGAACAACCACAGACACACAACTCAAGCGTATATATGCAACATAAAAATTTCCTTGAGAAATGTCACAAAATACCATGTTAGAAGAGGCAACCAACCAATGACATTTCAATCAGTCAGTCAGTCACAACGCAGAACTTCGTACGTACGTACATCAGTTCGAGTTGCCATACCACACTAGCACAGAGATGCAGCTGTCGATTCAAATCCCATAGTGGTAGAGATAGTAAGAGTATAAACAGTAATCGGAAAGATTAGGGTTTGAAGATGTTATTCAATGGGTATAATCCAGTGAGATAAATTAGGAAAGAAAAAAAGATAGGGACATGAAGAATTCAGAAGATCAGAATCTGTGAGAACACATAGAGTGGATGCACCTGTGCCATTGGAAACATTTTACCAATGACATTTAGGGTCGTTTCAAGTGTGAAATACAATCTGAAGGTAAAAATGGGTGCTTTTGGTGCGAAAACGAGGAATTCAAGTTTCCAAAGTAAGCTTAGAAAAATAGGATGTTTATCAAGTGAGTTCTAGGGATCTAGCATCCCTAACATAAACTCTAATCCCCTAGTATTTTATGCTAGACTTTCGATTGTCCATCAATCCCCATTTTCTCACAATTATCATCTTTATTTTTATTTATTTATTTATTTAAACACATATATATTGGTACAAAAGGGCACCAGATACATATGCGCCACACAAAATAATGAAAGTAGGAAGAGAAGGGATGAAAAGATAAGGCGGACTGAAATGTACAACCAAAAGACTCTTTCAGTTAAGAAAGTTAGAACCACTCTTTATGTAGAAAGTAAAAGAAGGTTACAGCAGGATCGCCACTGGCTTCTATTCTGAGCCATATCTGATAACGTCTCTAGCCAGTGTGTTGCACCATCTCTCGGACCCCAACCAGGGAGTCGTGAAGGACCAACAGAAGCTAGCACTTTGCAGCTTTCTTTCATACCACGACACCATGTCATACACTGACCTCCTCTCCGCTTTTTCCAACCAGTCCCAGAGTCGGCAAATAATGCACGACGTGGAAGTCTCTGAGACGACATTCGTAAAACATGTCCAAGCCACCGAAGTCGGTGTTTCAAGATGGTGACACCAATTGAATTATCGTCTCTGCGCCCGAACACACGATGCCGAACCTCTGCATTACTAACATGGTGTTGCCACTGGATGTCAGCAATCCGTCGGAGACAACGATGATCGAACACAGAGAGATGTCTAACATCCTCAACTCGGAGAGGCCAGGTTTCACAAGCATAGAGCAAAACTGCTCTCAACTACGCGTTGTAGATCCGACCTTTTACAGCCAGACTAACATCACCAAGGCGCCAAAGATGGCCCAGATTGGCATAAGCCGCTCTGGCTTTCATTATACGTGCATCAATCTCATCACTCACGCCACCACCAGCACTTATATAGCTACCTAGATACACGAACTTCTCAACTACTTCAATCTGCTCACCATCCAGGGTGAGTACATGATGAGAATCCTGCCAGTCTTGTAGGAGTACTTTGCACTTGGAGGGTGCAAAGCACATGCCGTACCTGCGGACACCAGTTGCCAACTGATTAAGTGCGGATCGCATGCCTTGGGCATTATCGCACAGTAAGACAATATCATCCGCATACTCGAGGTCGAGAAGTCGTTCTCCAGGCAACAGATCCACACAATCATTACTTACATCCATCAGAGCTGTTTCCAGAACGTCATCGATAGTAAAGTTGAAGAGGAATGGTGAGATCGGGCAACCCTGTCTAACCCCACTGCTTGAATGGAACAAGGGATGAAGGTGATTGTATGCCCTCACTCTGTCTGAGGTGTTTGTATATAGGGCCTTTAAGATGTTAATGAACTTCTCAGGCACACCCTTCTTCAATAGACAATCCCAGAGAACAGTCCTGTCCAACGAATCGAAGGCAGTCCTGATATCAAGAAACACTACGATTGTTGGCCTGCGATAAGTATGACGGTGTTCTAACATTTGGCGGAGGGTGAAGATATGATCAATGCATCCTCGGCCAGAACGAAAACCAATCTGTTCCTCGTGAGTCAATCCTCCTCGGGTTTTGAACAACCTACGAAGTATGACAGAAGCCAGTAGGGTGGATGCAATTGGAAATAGACTTATACTCTGATAGTTGTTGTAGAAACGACGTGAACGCTTTTTAAAGATAGGGACGACTATTGACTCATTCCATGGTGTTGGAACACTTTCTTGCTCCCAAACCTTTGCAAACAACACCGTCAGTTCCTTAGCCAGAAAGTCACCACCATCTTTAAAATGAACCGGAGGTAAGTCATCTGAGCCTGGTGATTTGTAGCGCTTCAAGAGTTAGAGTTATCATTATCACTATCACTATTTACCAGTAACGTACAAATTCTGAGATAGAGTTCAGTCCACGTATTATCCACAATAAATACATTTACAAATATTTAATTCCTTTTCACTACAGGTAAGGATTTATTGGTCAATAAAAATAAGATGAGGATTTTTGTGGAGATTTCAGTATTTTTCACAGTTGAAATCATGAGTCAATTGAAGCTAGACCACCATGGAAAACCTGGAAGCACTGGACGGCCGTTTCGTCCTATTATGCGACTCCTCAGCAGTGCGCATCCACGATCCTGCACTTTCTTCCAGGTTTTCCATGGTGGTTTAGCTTCAATTGACTCATGATTTCAACTATGAAAAATATAAGCTGAGCATTTCTAACTTAACTTAGATTTAAACTGTTAGTAAATAATGGGAAGAAACCAGTATCAGTAGGAATCTGAATAGTTAACTACAGTACTGAAAATTGTCCAGTCCAAATGTATTACAACAACACATTGTCGCGTTCATGAAAGCATACCTGAAATCTCCGACACATGAAGACGAATCGTTTAAGTTAAAAACAAATACATCCATGTTAGATGAAATATATTTTCAATGTCAGAGTGACATTTTAATTTTTATACACCCTATTCCAGTTAGCGAATAGTTCATTAATAGTATTATATATTTATATTTAAACGCATAAATATTGGTACAAGGAAGCACCAGATACATATGCACCGCACAAATCTCATTCGATTTGTGTGAGCGCTGTGATACTGCCCAGGTGCCCAAACTGAATAATCAAAAAAAAAACAGAAGCAACCAACCGTGAAGTAAATAATATTGAGTTTATTATCTTAAAAAGTAAACATCTAAACCTCTTACTTTAAAAAAATGGTCGATTAGAATTATACAGGAAATAGAAAACAATAAATCCGCTGACTTGCTTTTTAACCCGCATGCATATATTAAGAAAACCTTCTTCTTCTATCATTATGTCAGCTTCATCCAATACAAACATAACAACTTTAGATGGATCAATAAGATGCTCTCCTGTACCACGAAACCAATTTGCGATTGTACCCGGAGTACCAATAACAATCTGATCTGTTACATACCCATTCGAATCGACTTTGACTAAAACATGAATTTTCAAAAATAAAAACCATGGAGTTATAATCAAATTCACTGAAGTAAAGTTATCACGTCAAATACTTACGTTACTTTGAATACTTCTGCTTAGAATTCTCTTTAGGAGATCGATATTTTCCTAACGATCTGTTTGATATGATGTAAGCTGATTATAAAAATCAGGATCGTGTATCTGGCTTCGAGCTACATTTCTTTGAATGTGAGGATTGGTGATGTTATCCAGTTGTACAAATAGACAACAATAGGGTCGACGTACGACTGGTTGAAAACTAAATAGTTTACCAGTAAGCTTGCTTTTGTATCTGGGATATCTACTTCTTCTCAACAATCAAATATTTCAAGAGGCTAAGTTTTTATCCCTTTAAACTTAGTAACTGTCAACAAGCCCGATGGCTTATTCACACACATGTACAAGAATGTTACGAACCAAAGCGACGAACAGATTGTACGAGATGACCTACTTAAAAACCTATACTTCTGAACTTATTACTGATTTACTGTTGTGTAGAATATTTTCCTAAAATATTTGAATTAATTTTATATACCTTTATTTGCTTATATTGCGTGTATGTGTATGTATATTTCTTGTGATGGATGTAAGAGGAACTCGTTGAAATACTGTGCTGAAAGTTCTATATCGTACTAAGCGGATACAACTGAGTAAAACCATTATTATTGTTACCATTATTATTAGTAGTAGTAGTAGTATGTTGCTATACAGATTGAACTTAACGAATGAGTAACGAAAAACGAGTTGTCTATGACTTAATATGCACCATAAGAAGCTAGAAAGGTGCTTTACTCCAATCAATAATTATCATTAAGCCGTTAGTGTTGGAAAGCCTAATCGATAAACGTAACTTCTATACTGTACCAATTAAAAATTCATTACTACGAAAAACTTCTCAAATCCTTCATTGACATCCGAAAGTAAATAACTGTCTCTGGGAATTTAATGAAGCAAATACAAGTTTATGTTTGAATAATATGAAAAAAAAACAAAATAATTCATAAAATCTGTTATACCACGTGGTGAACGGACTGCTGTAGCAAAAGATACCTCCGGCATGAACTGTGCCATTTGTCGACCAACTGATTCTATCTGCAAGGCCAACTCACGCGTAGGTGCCATACACAAACATTGACAGTAATGTACATCTGTGTTAATACGTGACAACATAGCAAGAAGAAATGTCGCTGTTTTCCCAGTACCAGACTGAGACTGCGCAATCATATTTTGTGGGCTGGGAAAACAAGTAAAAAGGAAATAAATTGTTACTACACAACATTGAGGCAGAGACTTAATGGCCGAAGCATTTGACTTTCAACTAATAGGTCTCTGGTTTGAACCTCATTACATGTACTTCAGCTTTGGACAACCGGGTATTACCACCAACCCTCATACAAAACGCGTGCCTAAAGATCGGTGTGTAAACCTAAGTCATGTGTGATTGGAGACAGAACAACACTAAGAACAAATTAATAAGGATCTAATCTTTACCCATATTACCGATATGCACTTAAATGATCGACATATTTTTTTTCTTTATTTGAACATAAACATTGGTTTAAGGAGGCACCAAATACATATGCGCCACATAATAGCAACGAGGCCAATATTAGTTATCATTGGTTTATGTGAAAGCGATGATACTGTCCGGGTGCCCAAACCGAAGCAGGTGGTTTTCTTAGAGGGCCACACTCTGAGCCTTCGACCTAAAGGTCTGACCCGCAAGGCAGTGGAGCATCTTAAGGAGATGCAGTCCCATGATAGCCGGTCACCAACAAATGGTTTATACGCCATTTGTTCCTTCAGAGTACTGGAGCCCATGTGACCATTGGTTTGGAACCAGGGTTCTCCGATTCCCCTAGATGGACTCTGTGTCCACCAACCCGGTTAGAGGGATGGACATTCGTTATTCGTCTTCTCACTTTCGTAGACAAAACAGTAATACCACGAGGAGGCAGTGAGTAGGATTTCCTTTACAGTGGCTGTATACGCGTGGCCATGTGAGATAATTTCGAGAAGAGCTGACTCTCCCGACCTTCGGCCGTACCACGGCATTTAGGGGCAAAGGATTAAATGAGTGGGTGGACTGCATAATGCAATTGTATCGTCTATTTTTAAAAAAAAGGAGTAACTTCGTAAATTAAACGTCACTCATATGTGCTTAGATTTTCCATAACAACTTGCTCAACAGACAAAACAGCAATAATGTGTACAGGCTCGGGTTTTATACGTCTTAGTTATAAAACGAGGAAGTCAACAAAAAAAGATGATTTAGTGGAAAGCGAAACAGCAATAGAAATAGTCAAAAAAACCACAATTGAAGACAAACTACTTGGAACTTTATACTACAGACCCGTACTAATATTTTATTTATTTATTTATCTGAACACAAATATTGGTATAAAGGGACACCAAATACATATGTGCCACACAATAACAATGAAGTTGTGAAGAATTAGAGGATGTAAAACGCTTATACGAAAAAGGAGGACAACAACGAACAGAAATTAATGTAGGAGAATGAAATAATAATAATAATAATAATAATAATAATAATAATAATAATAATGAAAGAGGCAGTTCAGTTAGCAAAAATACAACCAGAAACAATTCTTTCACTTAAAGAAGTTACGTTCATTTTTTATGAAGAAAGTAAAGGAAAGCTACAGTGGGATCACCACTGGCTTCTATTCTGAGCCATGTCTGACAACGTCTCTAGCCACTATGTTGCATCATCTCAAGGACCCAAACCAGGGAGTCGTGAAGGACCAATAGAAGCCAGTCTTGTACAGCTTGCTTTCATACCACCACATGTTATACAGTGACCACCATTTCAACCGGTCCCAGCTCCGGCAAATAATGCACAACATATAATTCTGAGACGACTACATGTCCAGACCGCAGGAGTCGATGTCCCAAGATAGTCACACTGATTGAATTATCGTCTCTGTGCCCAAACACGATGCCGAACCTCTGCATTACTAACATTGGGTTACCATTGGTTATCAGCAATCCTTTGGACAATGATGATCAAACACAGAGAGTCATTTAACATCTTTAACTCGGAGATACCAAGTTTCACAAGCATAGAGAGAAACGACTCTCACCAACGCATTGTAGATCCGACCTTTAACAGCCAGACTAACATCTTGATTTAGATTGAATGTAGGTGGCCAAATACAACTAAATATTTGTTACATCACAAGGCTAACGGAAGCTGATTACGTTCCTGTTATGCCCCGATAAGGATGAGTGGTAACTTGGAGATTCATTTATGAACCAATACTATGCATATATTTTTTTATCGTATAATTGCTAAATACATGAACTATTCATACTCATGTCCCCCTTATTATTAGCTTTATTTTGACTTATGAACTATTGTTATACGACTTACCATTCATGAATTGTGCCCCGTCTATCACTTAATATCTCACTTATTCGTGTGGCGCATATGTATCTGGTGCCCTTTTGTACCAATATGTGTGTTTAAATAAATAAATAAGTCACTTATTCACAGCCACACTTGGCTAAATCTTGTACAAATGTTATTTTCTACTTTATGCTACGATGTGGTCTTTGATTGGTATATAAACTCAGTACGTTTGAAATATAATTTATATCACAGAGGCCCAGATTGGTGTTTTGGACTTAACTGGCTGGACTAGGAAGAAGGCAGGACCGACAAGTACTCTAGACTCCTCGTACGGGTTTCGTGTGTCATTTTTCCGATCGATAATTTGCTACTCCCTGGTTGGCGGCATCGTCACGTCACATATTAACTGGGAACGCAGGTCACAAGATATAACAATTCCCCTTGCAGGTTTCATTCACCAAGTCTGCACCACTATACATGATCCAAACATGCCTGGTAGCCCTGTGGACAAGTAACATGTGTCAATCTGACCACTAACATATTATACACCATGCAACGTAACACACAAGGGTATGAATAATGTATGCACAAAATGTGTCAAAATCACTACATAAAAGGTGGTTTATGACTGATTTATCGCATGTAATCATAGAGTTACTAACTTATTTGCAGAAGAGGATTATAGGTTAATGTGTGTTCAGCACTTTATAAACTGTTTTACATCCATAGGGTAATACAGTTGGTTCTCAATATCCAGTACTGAAACTTTCGTACAATTTGTTATGAGGAACAACACTAATAATATATATGAAAGGCACTGAATTCATCCATTTTGTATTTTCGTCCCTTTCAGTATAAAGACCATACACGGTGAGGATAAAAATTGTTTCATTTGACAAAGTAGGTTAAGTACGAAAAATACTTAGTTGACGTTCTTTACTATTAGCTTTCAGCATGTCTAAAATGAACAATCAAGAAGATGAATAAGTCACAGGCCATTTTATTGATGACCTGCTCCCATTTATTAAACAAAAGCTTTCGAATTTTTATCAAGTATACTCAGTATTAGTGGTATCCGGATAATCTGTAGAACCAGCATCTAAAAACATAAAAGCAGATAGACGTGAAGCCTATTAGTTAAACACGGCTATTCAAGATAGCGAACATAAAGTATATCCAGATAAATTGAGCTGGAATAGGTGCACTTGTACAAACTTGCATGTAACAGATGTCATTTAAAATATAGGTTATTTCGAATAATCATAAGATCGGTTCTCATGCTTACAACACACCTTATAAAATAGTCAGGTATTTCCCATGACATTTATACACTACTTGTGGACATAGGTGTCGGTTGTAGGATTAAGTGAGGCCAGAAATTAAAAGACTGGTGTCGAATAACATCTACACAATATTATTCAAAGGTTGATGCACGGCGAAACTGCATAAGTTTTGATTCAAACATTTTCCCCCATATAAGGCTTGCAAGGCCCATTGAGTTAATCACATCCAAACAAAATATCAGTACTTACTTGTCAGATATTAGGCTGCTCAAAGCTTGCTCTTGTATAGTGGATGGTTTGTAAAACCCCATCGCTGCGATGCCTTTCAGAAGAGGTTCCTTTCTGATGTTATAGTTAAGGTACAACATGAAAACCTACAAGTTCAATTCTTGAAACGTGCGAACGGAATGAAGAGGATGATTGGGGTCAGACCTCAAGATTTCAAAATCCAAGTCATGCGTCTCAAAAAGCTTAGAATTCAGCAACTTGTTGAGGTATGATATCTCCGCCCTAGTGAAAGCTTAAAAATAGAAAAACCACTAAACTGCTTACGTTTTTCATCAGACTCTTGATCGAGTTCAGCACCCGAGCTTTTGCTAATTCGCGATACACTTTCGAGAAGCGCTATCCAGTTTTCACTCTCTGTAAATGACATACTAGTGTAAAATGTAGAATAACTGGGTTGACGAGAGTGCCGTAAAAGTGAATACCCGAGCCGAAACTTATTTCCTGACGAAAATGAGACTCAGACCTTGAAGGGGGATAGCCGCTCAATATCCAATATCTTTCAACACGCCCAATGTACACCAGTTAATCTTTTACACCGTCATGGAAGATGTCTATATTTCGGCTGTGTCATAACTTTAAACCATTTTGAGCAGTAATACCCACATATTAGTTTCATAAGTAACATGACTCACTGATTAGCTCTCAAAAATACACTATTGTTAACATATAGCATTCTAGTTTCTTAACAGGCCAAACAAAAATAAGTTACAGACACATATTCATTCAAATCCATGTACACTCAAATCATAAACACTTAACCAAATTTACAAGCTTTTCACAGGCTAATTTACGACCTTTCCTGACATATGAATATTCATTTGTATCGTCGCTGACTATGTTTTACACATCCATATCCATCTCTTCTGATCTATGTTGCTGTTTGTCCATTTCCATATGTGTGTCCTACTTATTTATTCACTTCTCTGATTATTTCTATGTGTTTGATCCATGTTTGTTTGTGCACTCATTACATCAATTATCCCTCTACTTTCGTGTCTGTATTTCATGAGCTGTATATTTCCAGATATAATAACAATTTATACTCGAGCGTTTGGAACAGACCGTATCTACCACTTTGATTAACATCCAAAACACTTACATATTGCAGTTATCTGAACCCCTACACAAGTTCACTAAAGCGTTACACTTTTCTGTCTCCCTGTCCATCTTGAGTTATTCGGTCTCTCTAATAATCTAAGCCTTCATTAGGGTATCATTCGTAAAGTTTCTGGAAATCGTCAACGTCTGATTCTGCCATAATCAGATTGACTAACCAACTAGTAGCATTGTTCCCATTGGAGCAGTGGTTTGCTCACTTCTGAATAGTTAGTACTCTTCTCTATTTCTAGTTACGGTGGTGGGTGTAAGTAAAACTACATGCCAGATGGTTTTCACTCCCATCGACCCTTTAAACCATATTATATGCTAGCCCATTCTCAGTTTCTTTTAGTTTAATTTGTGATTCCTTCTTATTCATTAGTCTTTTAATTTGGAAAAATATGCTTATTCGAAAAAATATTTACGTTAAAATATTATTTTGTGCCGGCTATTTTAATTTCTTCTTGATATTGTATCGGGGTAGAGTGGCTTTCAGATCTTCATACAGTCAACCTTAAAGTTCCGATGATCGAGAAAGAGGTAACTGACTGTGTTTGAACGTCGCGTCGACCCTTCACTATTACTTGGAATGCTAGTGATGTGATTACCGTTAACTCAATACCTAGGCTGTCCCGCTACTAATGAGGATACTGTCCCTTTCCGTGAGTTATCGAGAGTAATCAAAATTGTGAGGCAACTTGGAAAACCATTATTCCGTTTACTGTTGTATCATGAATGAAGCCTGAACTACGTGTCTTATCAGGTATCCAGTGTTTTCTCACCAACTGATATTAGTGGAAGCAGACTCAACTTCTTTAGATATGATGCGAGCTGGAAGAGAACCCAGCACAAAGTTAGACATGTCTCTTGGGTTTGTACTTCCACCCACTCAGTAGAGACTATCTAGCAACGACTTATAGATTAGCTACTTTATTACTGGAGAGTTTGTATTTTAAATTATGGGAATCTGGAGCTAAGGTGGAGATCGTTAGGGGTGCTACGACCATTGAACTAAATGACTCAATCAATTGGTATACACTATCGTTCTAAATATTTTCAGCCATTTTTTAATTTAAAATTCCTAACTACATGGCCCCCCAAGTTGAATGTGCACTAAGTCAGAAGATTGACAATGAGCATTAAATGATAGATGGATGTCAATAAAGGTTGATGCGTAAACATTTTTATCAAGACTAAATGATCTGGACATGCAGGCACTTTCACTTTATATGTCCCTTTCGTCTGTTGGTAAAATTATACTGCGGTGAACTGGAACTCAGATGAGAAGGACCAATTTGTTGCTTGGTGCAAAATAAGTGTCTTAGTAAAATATGAAAACCATACGTTAAACTCACAACTTCCATATCATCCTATAGTTGTCTCTCACATGCTTTATGATTCTTTCGATTCTGTTGTTATTACAACTACTCTCCTTCTAAATTCCTGTTCTCTTTAATTCAATCTTCCCAATTGTTCATTTCCAGACCCCCGAATTTTGATTGGAATTATACAGTGCTTACGTCTGTCAACATAAGTGGAATACAACATAATACTTGTTGCTCAAAGTTTATTACAAAGGAATACCTCTAGTAGGCTGAATAAAGAGAGTCAGAATAGATGGTGATGCAAATTTGACGTAAGATCACATAGATTATTATTATTATTCACAAACACTTTATGGGTACATAAGTGCTGTGAAGAAACCATTTCGGGTTTCTTCAAAAATGCAATAATACACAATTTTCAGTAATGTTAACAATACATATGCCACGTTTGAGAAAGGAAGGAAAAGGAAAATAAAATATTAATAATAGAATAGTAATAATAAATGAGGTTCTGTGTAATTAGCAAGAATTTTGAATTGATTTTGAAGGAGGAAAGGAAGAAACTAAGGAAATAGAAATAAAGGAGACGCGGGAGACGCAAATATCTTAACGCAGAACAAGAATAAACAACTATGTATGTATAGCAAAAACGAGTAATAAAAATGAAATAAAACAGAATAAATTAATAAGTAAATAACTTATTATTGCGGTAAGATATGACGTTAGAATAAGTGTTTGTGCAAGCACAGTCATAGTTTTGGGTGATGCTATGAAAGTCTCAATTAAGTGCAAAAGATAATCAATATTTATGAGGTGTATATACATAGTGAAGATAAAACGAGTGTGATAAGTTGAATTCAATGTAACACAAGTTATTGTCTCAATCCAAAGCTTCTTAATCTTAAGAATAATATTTATTTAGAAGGAAAAAAGAGAGCGAGAGAGAGAAAAGAAATGAACACATAGTGAAAAGGTTCAACAATGATCATAATAGTGTAATGGATATAGACTTTTGAGATGAACGAATAATTTTAAAGTAATAATAATAATAACAACAATAATAAACCCTTACGGATAAATACGTGTAGATTTATGTAACAGTATATAGAGTGAAACCGGGTTGTTGTATAAACATTAGTGCAATAATAATAATTTAGAATGATGCTATCATAGTCATAATTGATTGCAAAGAATAATGAAATATAAATTTTTATACGTTATATGTTGTGAATATTTTGGAAAAAAAAATTATTTAAGTGGAACATAGGGGTTTTTTGTTTTTCATTGTAGACTTTGGATAAAATATGTTTACAAGGACAAGAAGAGATGAAAAGAATATCTAATGTGTCGAATGACCAATAATGATATTAATAACAGTAATAATTATAAATGCAAATATAAGCAGACTTTGTATATTCAGATAAATATAAAATAAAGTGAAATAGACGTGAAAAGTTTCAAAGGTTTTACTTTGCTTTTCAGTCAGTTAGATAGATGACGGACCTTTTTTGTATAAATCGTTGTTAAGCACGTTAATATTCAAAAGGTGATGTGTTATGGCGCAATCATTATAGTGTGTAATTAGTAGACAGTGTAGACGGATTTCAAACTCGCTTTAGTATGTCAATGAAACAGAAATTTTGAGTTACCTGAGAAACAAGTAATGCCTGTAACCGCTGGCTTTACAAGTAAAAGGACTACATAATACGTGTAATAAGCTGACTGTGTGTGACTCGTCAAAACACCGCAATACAACCCGGTCGATTAATAACGAACAGTATTCTAACAAGAACACCAACTATCGGTAATGATGAATAACTAGAATACATAACACACCCGTGTTTGTGGGGCGGAACATTTTATGTGTATAAGGCTCTTTATAGATGAGAACAAGTCAATCAATCTGTAATATTGAGGTTGTTCTCCTACACTCAACATTCAGACTCATGTTTCTAATTTATGTATTGGATTAACTATTCTACTAAGACAACCTTTAACATGCTAACTCGGACTTTTACATGAAAACTATGTGGCAGGCATCGGATGAAAAAAAACTGACTATAAAGGATATGGTTGTTATTTAACTCAACACTCTACTCTCCATATGCACTCTCTGTTCTTCCTCATTCCAACCTTGATTTCCCTCCTTCATTCGAACCTACTCCACCTTGAAAAATATAACAACTAATTGTTCTTTATTACTGCCTTCTGTCCTCTGGAGCCCCTAATCGCAGTTCACTCTCGCAACATGAGCTAGTATCAATTTCTTCTAATAATTTATCATACCTCCATCTGTTCCACTAATAAATGTTAAACATTGGTTATCGTTCATATCCAAATGCCTTGCTGCTCCTGGGTTTCTCTATTTTTTCTCTTCAGATTCTTGCTCTGAGGGTGAAGCTATGTAACTTCGGACATCTGGAACAAGCTCGACGAACGCGCTTTCCCAAGGTCATAGCTCGAACCAGGCGCTCCACAAGCCTACTTTATAACAACAATAAACTTAAAAAGCTGCATTACATAAATACTTAGCACGACCGAGACCGTAATACATTTTTTTGTCGAGAGTGGATCTGGTATGTAACGTGGACGCTATGCCCCTTGGAAACTATTCTTATGAAAACACATTATATCTGAACGAATGAACTGCTATCAACTTTTATGGATTATAATTACTAAACAACCTTGCTTGGGATGCATACTGTGAACCAGCATATGTTGTAAATTGTAGATCATGTCTGTAAAAATGGCGTGTACCTGCTTTCTCAGAAATATATTATTATTATGTGCAATTAAACAAGTCTAAAAAACAAAACGTTAACTGTTACGTTGATCACTCCGATTTGTAAAGCTCACATACTACCTCCTCGTTCTGAAATATGTGAATGTGCAGGCGAAAGGTAATTGGTTAACGGCCGATTGAAAACCTGCCACTAGAACAAAA